AAAAAAAAAAAAAAAATCCATTCACTCAAAACATTCATTCATTCATTCAAAAACATGGAGAACTCAGCACCTGTCAGGGCCTGAGCAGGGTGTGGAAGACACAGTGGTGAATGAAACAGATGAAGTCCTGGCAGTCTCGTGGGAGAGACAGCCAAAAAATAAAAACAGGGTGCTTAGATCCCAGATTCCCACTGGAGACTCAGGGGAAACCCCTCTGAGGAAGTGTCATCAACAGGAGTTAAGCAGATACAAAGTTTAGGAAAAGCATTTCCAGAGAGAAGGCAGGTGCAAAGGCCCTGGGGTGTACAGAACCAGAAAAGACCAAGTGCCTGAGCAGAGCTGCTGGGAGTTAAGGAGAAGACAGGGCCAAAGGCTGAGTGTCAGGCCAGGTGAGAACTTTGGGTTTTATGGAGCCAGCCCCCAAAGGCTGGTAAGGAGAGGGTGGGATGTTCCTACGTGTGTTTTCCCAGGCTCTGGGCCGGGAGCTGGGAAGGCCCAGAGACGAACCCACTGCATTTGCCCTCAAGGAGCAAGTGATCAATGAAGAAATGTCTAAGGTGACTGCTTCGGGACCTGGGGGGTTCCAAGCTGGATGTGAGGGCCCAGGGAGGCTTCCTGGAGGAGGAGTCCTGGAGCCTGCAGGCTGGGCAGGACAGTCTGGCAAGAAAGGGGGAAGAAGGCAGCGGGTGCCCTGGCAGCACTGCACTCAGCCAGCTCCTTCCAAGCACCTTAGTCCTTCTCTCACCCTCACAATGCCCCTCTGAGGTAGATATCAGATTTATCCCAATTTTACAGCTGGGGAAACTAAGGTACAGGGTGGCTAAGTAACATGGCCAGGGTCATACAGCGAGGTGGTCAGGGCTGTGCGGCGACAAGACCAAACCCAGCAGCCTGGCTGCCCCGTTGCTGGTCCACACTCAGCGTAAAGATGAGGGTCGGGGGCCCAAGACCCTCTCCCCTCACCCCTTCCGCTGCCCACTCAGCTCGGAAAGCCCCGAAAGGGGCTGGAGAGGGTCAGAAGATTCCTGGGTCCCTGCACAGGGAGGTGCCAGTTGTTTCTCGAATCCTTTTCCGTTACAGAAACATGCTGAACACTATGGGTGAAATGGTGGCCGGCCTGGGATCTGCTGCAAGATATATGGGCGGGGGTGGGAGATGGGGAGGGTTACAGATGAAAACTAAATTGCCTGGGAGCTGGAAACTGTTGTGTGGAAGCTGGGGGCTCCTTCTATCATTTTTTCTATATTTGGGGATGTTTGAAATTTTCCATAATGACGCGGTAAACGGGGGGGGAAAAATGCCCAAGACCTCCACAGACCTGGGCAATGCAGGGGCCCAAGAGTAGAGGCAAAGCAGGGGGTGTCCTGGCTTCCCTGGCCCGGAAAGTGATCCCGAGGGAAGGTGACAACAGACAAGGGCTGGCTGCTTCGATTCCAGACCAGTCCTGGCTGGCGGCGCTGCCTGCCACCATCCAACCCAGGCTACGCCCAGCCAGGAAGGAGACTGAGGCCAGGCGCAGGGCTGAGGGAGCCCCAGGTCTGCACAGCTCCACAGCGGTGCCCTTAGCAGGGGTCTCCGGGGGCCCAGCCTCCGGGACTCAATGGAAAGCAGGCTGGCTCTCAGGAAGTGGGCAGCAGGCCTACTACTGCAGGGGTGGAAGAAAGAGCAGGTTGTAATTGTGGAGCACACAAGGAATTTCAGACTTCCACTGCTTTTTTTTTTTTTTGCGGTACGCGGGCCTCTCACTGTTGCGGCCTTTCCCGTTGTGGAGCACAGGCTCCGGACGCGCAGGCTCAGCGGCCATGGCTCACAGGCCCAGCCACTCTGCAGCACGTGGGATCTTCCCGGACCGGGGCACGAACCCGTGTCTCCTGCATCGGCAGGTGGACTCTCAACCACTGCGCCACCAGGGAAGCCCTTCCACTGCTTTTGATCCTCCCGATTTATAGAACACTTTGAGGATATAAACAGGGGAGCGTGAGGTTCCTTGAAAGGAGCTGCGTGATTCCACAGAAACATACACAGGTGGTTTTCTGCCTGAGTTCCACAAACTCCTATTCATCCTTCAAGACCCATCCAACCTCCCTGTTCTGTCCCCTGTGCTCCCACCCCTCGAATGGGGCTGTAGTGGCTTGTTTGGGTCTGTTTGCTCATCACCCCATCCTCAGTGCTGGGCACTGACTGGGAGAGGCTAGGTAAAGTTGGTGGATGAGTGAGGGTGTCCCTCATGAGTCCATGGGACCTCTGAAGGTGGGCTCTCTCTCCTCCTGTGGCCTGGCACAAGCCTATGGAATGAAGCGGAATGTTCCTCCTGCTTTAGAAACTCCACGGACACACTATGCGGACACATCCCCCCGAAAACATCTGACACTGGTGGCTCACCACTGCCACACACCCAGTGTCAGTAAACACGGAAGCTGCCCTGCATCTGGCGGCACCATGCATACAGCAAACGCTCGGTAAATATTAGCTTGTGCATTATTATTATGATCACAGTTTAGCTGCGGGATCTGAGCTTTCCCGACACAAACACCCCAGGGCTGTCTGGCTCGCAGACTCTTGTCTCTGCGGGGCCCAGTGTCATCCTCATCACTGGAGCACAACCAGCCCCTCGGCTAGGCTGGGACAGCAGCGCCCGGCCCTGGAAACACTCAACCCTGAAGGCCTGGGACACAGCAGGCGCCCAAACAACACGTACACGCACCTCAGCGAACCGCAGAGCGGGCTCAGCCGCCTGCCCACACAGGCCGCCGCGCTGGAAACTGCAGACCCTACAGACGGAGGCGTTCTCAGCACCAGCCTCGCGGAGGGATTCGGGCCAGGACTGCCTACAGTCAGGGCCTCTTTGCAGAGAAGGAGCCTCTCTGTTGGCTCAGATTTGTGTCTGGGTGTTAAGTGGGGTCATGTGTGTGCCTGGAGGTGGGAGACCGTCAGGCCAGGGGCTTAGCTCCCTCTGCCAAAGGGGTCACCCAGCCCCTCCTGTCTGACCCTGGGGCTGGAGATCCGTGGGCTCCCCACAGCACAGGGGGCGGCAGTGGTGCTGCTACCTCACTGGGACGGCCCATGCCTCCACACCCACGCTGGAGGCCCCACCAGACCCCCTGCCTGGCTCCCGGCCCCCTGTCCCCTCGGTTCTGTGCTCTGACATCACCTGCTCAGGGCGGCACCTCCACCTTGGCCTTGTCGCCCCATGTCATCCCCTGCCCCAACGTCCCGCCTCATCCCTGCCACGTGGAACTCCACTGGCTCCCACGAGGGCAGGGGTCTGTCCGTCTGCCCAGAACGGGCCGTCCCCCAGCAAGGGCCTTCGACGGTGCTGGATGGGGTGAGGCCACATGCCCGGGGCCAGCACCAAGCCCACCCCTGCAGACCCCCGAGCCCTCCCCAGCATAGGCAGATGAGTCCCCACGTGCATCCCTGTGTCCAGAAGACCGGCGGGGGCTGAGTTAGGAAACGTGCCGTTCGTGCCGCCCCTCAAGCATTGCCCTGTCACCCAAAGTCTTCAGGTCACCGAGGCCCCCTCTGGCCCACAGTTCATGGGCAGACGGCCTTACCTGATCACTTCAGCCACCTGGCCACACGCCTCTCCCCGTCCAGCCCTGGGGAGGTGAGGCAGGGGCTCCACGAGCCTCCAAACCAGAGCGACAGTGCAATTCCAGATGTGAGGGTGTGCCGGTGCCTCTCCCTCCCGGCCCCATTCGGCCACGGGCACCATTCACATCCCACTGCCCCTGCTCCATCTGTGCCCCCCGTGAGCCACGGGCCAAGCCCGATCCCTCAGGACGGGCTCCAGCCCCGGCCCCCGGCCCTCGCCAGCCAGCACAGCCATTCCCTACCTCTGGCAGATAGCTTCTTGGTGTTGATGATCTTTGCTGCATACTCATGGCCGGTGCAGAGCTTGACACAGCGTCGGACCACAGAGAAAGCCCCCCTGGGGGAGAAATGGGAAACAGAGGCAGGGAGCCGATTAATCCCCCGGTGAACACCCAGCACCCGGTCATGAGGCCCAGCCTCTGTGCGAGGAAGGGGCGCCCCTCCCCCAAAACGACTCCCAGCCCACCCCGCCCAGTGCCAGCCCGGCAGGGGCCCCTTTCCCAGCAGCTGGCAGAGCCCAGCCGACTGGCACACCCAGCTCCTGTGAGACACCCCGCCTGGGCATCCTCATGGGCCAGCTGGACCGAGGGCCTCTAAGCGAGCATCCTCCCTCGCTCTATGCCCAGGCCGTGAGACCCAGTGAGTCCTCCCAGAGCAATGAACCCTGGCCCAGCTCCAGACAGTGGAATAGACTGGTGCAGCCTGCGGGGACTCTGTGAAGGTTCTGGAGGGAGGGAGAAGCATCGCATAATTAAGCTGCAAAGCTGGAGGCCAGGGCACCCTCCCCCGGATCCTCCACCAACACTGCCCCAAGTTACAGCAGAGGCTGCAGAGTCCCATAGCAGAGGAGACATTTACACGCCCACAGCATTAGTGCTCCTGAGAGGAGAGGGGACCAGCCTGGAGGGCCAAGAGAAGGGAACCCAGGAGAGTGGGTGACCACTGCCAAGGCCATCGAGACGTCCTGCACGTGGCCCCGAAACAGTGACCCTTGAGAGGAGAAAGTTTTGCAGGAGGCGGCACAGCAAGCCAGAGGCCAGAGAATAGGCCCGTGTGGGTCCAGGGCAGGCGTGGGGCACAGGCCGGAGGGAGCCTGGGGCCCGTCAGAAGGTCCTCCGCGGTATTCAACTTGTCACCACCGTCGGTTTAATTTGATTTGAGATCATCTTCGAAGAACATTAGACCCAGCACGTATAAGACACAGCCGGAACGGGAAATGTCTTGGGAAGGGTCCAGACTGGAGGCCGCCAGGGAGAGGTGGGCACAAAGGCCACAGGTGGCTGAGCACGTGGGGCCAGGGGGGCTGGGGACACCCCTGACCGCAGGCCCCTCCCCCGCCTTCCCTCCCCAGAGGCCCTTGCAGGCACGGCCTCCATCGGAACACAGCCTCCCCCCGACCCCCCTCATAACCCCACCCCGGAGCCCTGCTGCCCACGCAGCCTGAGAAGCCCACCAGCTGCCCGAACCCGGACCCTGGGCCCCAGGAAAGCAGCGTCTTAAACAGGGAACGCTTTTTTGCTCTAATCCTGTTTGAGATCAAAACGTCATTAAGACAGACTATTCACTTCCTTGGAAAATAAATAAGTATTACACTAAATCTATTTGAACATTTTCTTAACGACCCAGGTCTTTATGATCACTAGCTGTGCTCAGAGCCATATCTTTGCTTTTCCAAAGTCAGCCAGGGAACTGGGCAGCGGCTGCCTCTGTGGGACGGGGAGCCGGGGGTTGGGCGGGGGGCACACAATTCACTCTACATCCTCTGTCCTGTGTGATTTTCTCACTACGTGCATGGGTTATGTTCTCAAAATATTCTTTTATTATTATTATTATTTTAAGAAAAAAACATAAAGAAAGGATTTTTTTTTGACCGGTGAGACTAGCTTGGGAGAGAGCTTGGTGAGGGGGAAAGGCCACAGGCTTTGAGCAGGTCTGGGTTCAAGGCCTGCTCTGCACCAGGTTGCACCCTCTGAGCCTCAGTTTTCCCATCCATCTAAGGAGCAGGAAAGACTCACAGAGCCACTGCGAGGGCCGCCTGAGGCTGCACTGGCCTCACCCTCACCAGCCCAGCCCATCCCTGGTCTTCGAATCCGCTTCCTGCCCAGGAGGGCGGAGGGTATCACACGTACAGGGCTGAGCCACCACCCTTCGCACTGTGGCCCCCAAAGCGCACGGACAACCAAGCACTGGCTCACAAGCCTCCTTGGGATAGAGCTTCCTATGCCAGAATCCGACCCCACGATGCTGGAAGTTCCCAACAGCCAGGGGGCTGCTTTCAGCATGGTGGGCGCCAGGCGAGGCACCAAGGGGCCCTAGGGTGAGCTCATCCCTGGAGGGGGAAGGGACCCACGCAGCCTGTCCACCGGCTGCTGCCCAGCCAGGGTAAGTACAGGACTAAGTGACAGGGAGCCGGGAATTCTCCCTGGCGCACGGCAGGATGCGCATAAATAAAGTGAACGAGAGCCGGCAGCCAGATGGACGATCCTGGACAGGCTGCCCCACTGCCCCACATCTTCCAGTTCAGACCCTGCTCTCTCCTCCGTAGAAGGCTCTGGGTTGGTGATGAGGGCAGTGCCAAGCGGGCAGGAGCCAGACGCTGGAGGAAACCAGGAAGGCGGCAGGCACAGCTCCTGGCATCCAGCAAGCGCTCAATAATGGTGCTCATAGGCTGCACTCAAGCTGGCACAGGGCCTGCTCCTGGACACAGGCCTTCCTCTCCCGGAGTCCTGCCTGCCAGGTGCGGGGGAGGGCACCTCTGGAAGCCCCTCTGGTGTAGGGCTTCTCCTGCCCCTGCTGCCCGGCCTGAAGAGAAGTTCTAGAAAGAGCTGCCCGACCCCCGGGCCCGGCCACCCCACCCTGGTCTGCCACGGGGCACCTGCACTCCAGTGCCTGTCAGCTATAAGGGGGAACCTGGGCCGGCCTGGGGTGAGGCTGTGCTGGGCCCCTGGGGAGCCCTCAGAGCTCAGTCTCCCAGCTGAAGTCGCCAGGAAAGCTTGGCCAGGCGCCTGCGGAACCTCACGAGTTAGAGGGCTCTCCGTGACTTAACTACTCAGAGGGAGAGTGCAGGGAAGAGGCTCTACCCGCGATGACCACCGCCCCTCGGGCAGCCCCTCAGCTCCCCTCTTCCATCCTTGAAGCCAGCCTCCCGGTCACCACCATCCCCCAGTCTCCTCCCACCCCTACCCCAGGCATCCGCCCCCTTCCTGGTCGCTCTGCTAGTTAGTCGAGGCCCATCACAAGGAGGCCCCCCAGAAGTGCCAGCATGCCAAAAGGCATGTGCCGTGCGGGCCATGGGCTAGGGGCCCCCGACACCTTGAACATCACAGGCAACAGTGAGGCCAGCAACCACCCGCCCTCAGTGCTCACAGCACCTACCCCCGGAAACTTGCAGTCATGGAGACAACAACACGGACGAAGGGCCCGGTCCGCATGCTAAGCGCGCCCCCACTGCCCCCAGGCAAACTCCTTTGCATCCTTCAAGGCTCAATTCAGTACCTCCTCTCGGAAATCTTTCCCAGCTCCCACAGGAAGTCAGCCTGGTCTCCTCTGGACGCCGGACGCTGCGCGTGTCTCGGCTCACTTTGCCCACTTTATTATAATTATTCATCTGTCCGTTTCTGGCCCTACGCTGTGGCTCTCCACATGCAATCGGGATGCTGGGGTCAGGCACAGTGTCCAGACTGTGATAAGAGAGTAAAAGCACCACAGGTCGACTGTGGAGAGTGGAGATGCTGGACCTCAGCAAGTGTCAGGCCAGCGGGACAAGAATGGGCAGCCTTCTAGAAGGACAGGGAGAGCCCGGGATGGGGCAGACTCTGGACCACAGGCCAGCAGGAGAGGGTCACCTCCCGAGGCTTCCCTGGATGAGTGGGAGCGTCTGTAGGTGGGGGGATGTCTCCTATGGAGCGGAGGCCACGAAGCCCCTGATCAAAGCAGGAGGCTCCCCACCGTACCCACAGATAGGCTAGGATGAAGATGCAGAAGCACACGCGGACAGGGCGGGCAGTGGACTGCATCCGGGTGAGACCTGCCTGCACTGCCCGACACTCCGACCGTCCACGAACGGCGTGGCGGGTGGTGGCCGGCTGCAGGGTCAGCAAGGCCACCCAGCGCAGCTTGCGGGGGAGAAGCCAGGAAGGTGGGGGTCTGGGTGAGGGTGAAGGTCAGGGAGGGTGAGGGTGAAGGTCTGGGTGTGGGTGAAGGTGCCTGGGAAGAGGGTGCGCCTGGTAGGGGGACCCCCTGAACCTCGAGGTCGCCACACGATGCCCGGTTTGGCACGTACTGCTGCGCTCGGGTTTCGAGTGATCTGAGTAACGTGCTCAGAGGAGGAGGCTCCCAAGCACCAAGCATGTCATGGGGCTTTTAAAAATCAGGTAAAGCTAATGAAAGGAAGAAAACACTCTTTCAGTCCTTGCCGGCTGGCGGATAAGAAAGCACTCTCCTGTCTGCTGTGGGACCACAACCAGAGAGGCCGGCCAGAGAGAGGGGCAGGTTAACACCACAGCTGCCTGGGGTCTGGTCTGCTGCAGGTGGGCGCCCAGCACTGCTGTGGCCGCGCGGACCCACGGTGGCACTCGTCAGTCTCTCGCCAGCGAAGGGGGTGACTGGCCCCTGCACACCGGGCAGACGCAGTGAGCCAGCCAGCGGCTCCCCGTCCCCTTTACTCTCTCTTTGCTCCCCGTCCAACCTGTGGCCATGCCTCTGAGCTGCCCCCGTGCCCGCCCGCCCGCTGCCACCTGGAACTTGCCCCTGACACCGATTACCTGCAGCCCCCATGGAGGCCCCCACTACGCCTGCTTTGGGGACCTGTCCACTCCCTGCTCTGTTGGCCGAGCCCAGCTGCCCAGCCTGCCCTCTGCCCGCTGCCCGCTGACCACAGCGTGTTGGTGGGAGAGGCTGCTGGGGCGGGAGGGTCCGGTCTTGCCCTGTCCCCACGGCGGGGACACAGAAGCGCTGACCATGGATGCTGCTCTCGGGACCCTGCGTCCGGGGCCTGGGGCTGCAGGGCTTCCTCATGACGGTCACAGGCAACACGTGCAGAGGTCCCGGCACGGAGCAGGCGTCAGAATCGTGCAACCCGGGGAGCCCCTACTTCTGCTGCTCAGCGGCCGCTCAGCGCTTCCACTGCATCCCTCCCAGCAGACATTCCAGGGACGTGGCAGCTCCTGTCTCCACCGCCCCCAGCCCTGGCTCCAGCCCTGCACCCGACTCCGGCTCTCTCCACCCAGTCCCAGCCTCGCAGGCACCTGCCTGCCTGCCACCAGGGCTGCGAGCTGTTTGCACAGCCCGGTGGCAGACACACCCGGTGGCCAAACAACCCGGGAGATCCCATCCATA